TTCAACTTGAGGACATTTTTAAAAATAGAAAATTGCAATACTGGACAAAGGAGGCCATAAAGGAGCTTCACCCAGGGCTTGAAGCCAAGGGTTCTATTTATGCATACCTGACCTAGGAAGATGATCAGAATTGCAGGCAAGTATCCGTGAACAGGGCAGATCACTGCAGTGTAACTAACAGTGGGCAACTGGAAAGGACTTAAAAATCCAACAGGAGGAACTGGTGAATTACACTATAGCTATATTCAAAGCATGGAATGTTAGTCCTTAAAGTTATTGTGAAAAAGTTTTAAAGGCAGGGAAATGCTTATGACATACTGTTGAATGGACCTGGACCTGTAAATACAGCACATGTTCTCAATTTCAGGATGAACTGTCCCCACAGGCGCAGGAAAAAAGAAACTGAAAGAAGGTATACTGGTGCATAAACAATTTGTATCTCTGAGTGTCAGAGTGTTTTCTGCATCTATTTTTTTCTTGGTTTGCTATGATGAACATGTATAACCTTTGCAGTCAGAAAACAAAACAGCCAGATGCGGTGGCTCACACCTGTAATCCCAGCACTTTGGGAGGTGGAGGCAGGTGGATCACTTGAGGTCATGAGTTCGAAACCAGCCTGGCTAACATGGCAAAACCCCATCTCTACTAAAAACACAAAAATTAGCCAGTCATGGTGGCACACGCCTGTAATCCCAGCTACTCAGGAGGCCGAGGCAGGAGAATTGCAGTGAGCTGACATCGCACCACTGCCCTCCAGCCTGGGTGATGAGAGAGAGAGAGAGAGAGAAAGGAGGAGGAGGAGGAGGAGAAGAAAGGAAGGAAGGAAGGAAGGAAGGAAGGAAAGAAAGAAAGAAAGAAAAAATCAAAAACAAAAAAACCCACGCCCTGCCCCTTCCCTGACTTAGTGGAGTAAGTTCCTGGAAAGAGAGCAGTGCTTGGGGTCAGGAATGCAGCTCCTTTCCAGCCCTTCTCTTCCTAGGTGTCAGGATCCTCTGGGACAGCAATTCTCAAAT